GAAAGTAAGGGGGCAGGTAGGGCAGGTGGAAACAGTTTCCTGGTCTTCTAGGGCGAACAAAAAAGATTCATGCCAACTTGAGAGATGGCCCAAACTGAAAAGTTGAGGTCTTCCAGGAGTTCAGACAGAACTCGGCCATATCTGTCAAAGATCCTATTGCATATTTTTTAAAAACAAAAATTATCAGCATAGCTTAGAAAAATGTTGGAAATATTTATTCATTTTTGTGTATCTTTGAGACCATATATAAGTTCTTACTTAGTGATAACACTGAAAGCATAGATTTAAATATTTTGTAATGTAATTCATTTAAAGTTTAAACATTTTAACAAGACCTTTAAAAAGTCTGATAAATACCCCTTGAAAATACTGTTGTGGTTAAAGCGGCTTGGAAACATTTTGCTTGCATGGTCTCGTTGAACACTGGCAGGGAATACTGGCATGTTAAAGGATCTTAGAAATCTCTTAAACTTCTCTTATCTCACTGTTTCTCAAACCTAAGGAACTGCATCATCTCTTTCAAAAAATAAACATGGATCATGACACACTTTGGGAAGTATGGCTCTAGACAGACCAATGTTCAATCTCTGCTGTGGACCTGCACTTCATGGACCTTAGCTCTAAAATGCAACCCAGAGCCTGGTATCACCTGGACCAGTGGGTATTATGCATCAAGTCAGAGCTGAAGAGATATCTGTACAGCTAGGCATAATAAACAGCTTGTACCCAGCCTACTAAGTCATGAGTCTTCCTAGGGTACCAGACAAGTTGTAGATTTAAGGATGCTCACCTGCTTTCTATGTGGTTTGGGGTTTTGTTTTCTTGAAGTAGACACCTTTCCATTAGCGACTCAGCCCTGGCTGAGGCCCAATTAATTTTGCATAAGCTGCCACAGCATCATGAGATGCTGATCTATTCATTCACAACCACAGAGCACTGTGTCAGGGTCAGGTGTGGAACCTCTGCCTCCAGCCCTATGGATATATTTAGTGCTTAGCCCCTAGTTCCTGTAGCTGTGAACTTTCAGTGACTGCTTTATAGTGGCCAAGAGAGTTGAGGCTGGCTGCCAGGACTCTGAGATCTGGAGAAACACATGGACACATTTTTCTTTTTCTCTGAAGCTGTCCAATTCCTGTTCCGGTCATATGGGGAGCTAGTCGGAGAAAGTTATGAAGCAGCCTAGTACTTACTGCCGATGATATGCCTGTGCCTGACATTACTGTGAGAGAATGGGCTTCAACCCACCCTCGAGTGATCATCAATGGAAGTTTAATTGTAAAGGAAAGTCTGAGTGAGCTTCTGGCTTTGGCTGTAAGAACTACTAGAGAACCATCCTTTTATTTACTCTAGAACTATACATTGGGTCCAGTCTGCTTCCATAAGTGGCCAGAGGGATAGGTTACTATGGTTACTGAATACTAATTTGCTTAGGTTGGATTTTGTTATGATTATTTGCAACTACATTTTTTTTTACTGTTATTTATGTAGAAGGGTAGAATTGTCTCAGAGATTACAAGGTTCTTACTTAGTCAAAATATCTAGAGGAAAGTACCTCGCCACTTTTTCTTTGGAACTTGTAACATTTGTGAAGAGTTTTGTTCAGCACGATGGAAAAGCAAAATATCATCCCCATTATCACTGGCCTTCCTCCACAGTGGATTTTATCCGGTCTCCAGGAACTCTATGACTAACCATCTGAGTCACCAAGTTTCAGATGTTTATGTATTTCAACACAATTCCCAGGCTAACTGGATTTTTATTTATTTATTTTCAAGTTTCAGGACTCAGAAAGAATCAAATGTCCTCCTGAATTTCCAATCTAGTGTCACTGAGTGACTGACTAGGAACAACAAGGCAGACAGATTAAATTATTCTTTCAATAACAGATCTGTGCTGGCAAAGGGCTAAGAGTCACCCAAATGTCAAAAGATTAGTAAGTACTTCCAGGGCAAAAAGGCTCCAGCTTGGCGGAGATTCAGTTAATTACCAATATTTGTGTTTTTTACCATGGTAGTAGTGAGGAGAATATTCAGTGCAAAGGTGGTAAAGAGAATGCCTGGGAAATGCAGTACATTTTCTAATTATTAACTGTGCAAAGACACACATCTTTGTTCTTACAGCTCCTCCAAAGAGTTATTAGTGAACAGCCTGAACTAGCACATCATTTTTATGAAAATTCCATTACCCTAACAATCATTTTTCTGTAGTGTTCTTCATATCAGCCCCGGCTCATCTGTGGCCTATAACTTTCTCTGCACAGCCATCTTCTACCAATTTTAAGGAGCAATTCCAAGGATGCTCAGTGGGTAAGAGTGCTTGCTGTTCAAGGATGAGAATCTGTGTTCAGATCCCAGCCCCACTCACATAAAAGCTCTGAGGCCACACATGCCTGTAACCCCAGTGCTGCAGGGGTCAGAGACAGGAAAGTCGCCAGGGCTTGCTGGCCACGGGCCCAGCTTCAGGCACAGTGAGAGACTCTATCTCAAGGGAATAAGGTGGAGAGTGACAGGGCAGGACACCCAGTGTCCCCTCTGGGCTTCACGTCCACACTAGCACACACACTAACAAACCAATTCCCTATTATTATGTGGGATAATTGATGTTACAATTTTTAAAATAAATTTTCAAGGATTTTCCTGAATGTTATTTCATTTTCCTATGCAGTAGAGAAGAAATGCTTTGCCCCTTATAAATGACAGAATTTAAGTGTAGTGTATCGATCTAACTGGCTTAGACGCTCAGGCTAAAGCTATACATATCATTACGAGAACTGAAATCCAAGTCCCAAACTATTTTACTAGATATGTCACAAAAATTTGAGATTAAAAAGTTCTGCCTCTAAATGTTCATAATGTAAAATGAAAAATAAAACCTGGAGAGAGTTGTTATTCTCCTGTCCTGATGTTTGCAAACACTATTTGTACATCAAGTACTGTATTACATTTATACCACCCAAACCATCAAATCAAGTCAGACAACACAAAATATTAGAAAATATAAAGTAGGAAATAAACCAATTTTTATTTTTTAATTTAAAAAACATTTTAGTTTTGCCTGTAAGTGCACTCATGCATGCAAGGCCCACAGATACCAGAAGATGGCGCTGGATCCCCTGGAGTTGGAGTTACAGATGATTGCTAGCCACCATGTGGGTGCTGGGAACCAAACCCAGGTCCTCTGCAAGAGCAGCCAGTGTTCTTAACTGCTGAGCCATCTCTCCAGCCCCTCCTCCCCCAATTTGATTTTTATAAAGAATTTATCAGTTCTTAAAGGATGCTCTACAAAAGAGCACATAGAATGTTCTGGAACGTGTAGCCATATGATTCCTGTTGTCCTTCAAGCAAATTATATTTTTTTCATTGTGAATTAATTGGGTTTATGTCTAAATAGATGGTCTTCCAAGGAAAAAGTTATCTGCCATTTCCCTTGCAACTGGGCTAGAGACAGTTGCTACCTCTTGATTTGTAGGTAGCAACTAGGTTAGTGATCTGTGTGTGTGTGTGTAAAGAATTGAACCAAGACCTTGAGCATGCTAAACACATGCTCTCTTGCTGAGACAAATGCCCAGCCCTGTAATATATTTTGAATCCTCTGTTCCCCAGTTTGACCCATGACCTCACACTGAAACACGTGTAGCTGAATTCGGCGTTGTGGCTTTGGACACTCAGGCTGTATATCTTCAAACATGGTTTGTGAACCATCCCCAGCAAGCCACTCTAGATCTTTTACACCACAACCTGTGGGGAAGGATGTGGCCAGGGAGTCTGCATTAATCTGCTCCCTGGATTCTAAAGCTTTTCACCATAATGATAGCACTTCTCAGTTCCTGGAGATTTCAGTGTCGCTGGGTATGAATATTTCCTGGGCCCAGTATTTGAGAATGGAAACCGAAGAGGGTCCTCTATCTTTGGAAACCAGGAAATAGGCAGGCTACAAAAATGACTCTAAGAGTCTCTGACTCAATGCAACTGTTTACCTACCTGCCAGTCAGCAAGCCCAAGCACAGGGCCTAATCTCAGGGACCTGAACATTGCACCTCTCTTTTTCAACAGATATTAACAACCAAAAGTGCTGAGAATGGCCAGCCCATCAGACATAAATAACTGTTATTCCAAACTAGGGCAACACGAACTGATTGATAGCTATTTTCCTTTCAAAACAGGCACAAGCTTCATTCCTCTTGCCGGTGTGTGCCAGAAACAGAAGACTGAACACAAGTCTACTGCATTTGATCTTAACTAAAAGGTCAAGAAGCCTCCGTGTGTGTGTGTGTGTGTGTGTGTGTGTTGCTGGAGACAACGCAGTCTTCCACATAGCCACATAGTAGGCAAGCTTTTTGTCAATCCCCAGCCTCAACACAAACCTTGTGGATCCAAAGAACTGTTTGGTGTGAGGACATTAAACCCAAATGGGGTGAGTGGAGGCTCTGGGAAGATGCGGGAGACCAAGATAACACACACATAAACAGAAAGCAGACCTCGGAGGAAAGGACAAAGAGCCCTGGCGTTGGGCTGGAAGAGAGCTGCGATTAGGGGTTGGTTTTAACAAGTCATAAAACAAGACCTTCTAATCAGAGGAGTTGCTTTCAACGACAACCTGAAGAAAGTGCTAAATAAGACACAGAATTTTACAAAAACCGCTGGCCTAACGCAAGTCACAAGACAAGACTCTGGACCGGACTGGATGCTGCAACTTGGTCTGAGGATTTGTCTGCAGTGGCTCTTTGCAACTCCTGGCCTGGCGCCGGAAGGATCTGGAACCGGCCAGCGGGCTACAATCCCTGGGAATGCGCTGCGCTGAGGCACTTCCGGGCATTTGCTTGGGACAAATGAGCGCTTAAAAATTGGCAAGGGAGGCGTCTAAGAAATTGTTAGCCTGGGGGCCGGAGCGACGGCTGGGAGAGGCCAGGGCCGGGGCCGCCTTGTCTCCGACGGGCTGGTCCCGAGGCCCCGCGAGGGACCACCGGGGATGCGCCCTGGGCCGGCGCTCAGGACCGCGCGCGGCTCGGCAGCTGCTCCCCCCGGTGTCCGGGTCTGCGGGGTGGGGGTCGCAGAGGCAGAGGCTGCACCCGGGACGCTTTCCTCCGCAGGCTGGGGGCGGGGCACCCCAGCCGCATCCCCATCCCCGGGCCCCATCCCCCAGCGCAGCCTCGGCCTCCCACATCCTCCCCGCCTTCCCCGCGAGAAACATGGCCGGGAGAAGCAACAAGGCGCCGGGCTCCGGGCGAGGTGTCGTGGTAAATGCAAACCCCGAGCCCGGGCTCCCAGGCTCGCCCCCCTCCCTCCCTCCCGGGCATCCTCCTCCTCCCACAGCCGAAATGCGCTCCGGGGAGAGCAGGCTACGGCTTTGTTCTTCCTGCGGAAGGGGACCGCTGGCATCCTCGCAGCCAAGCCTCCTTTCCCCACCCCCCATCTGACGAAATGCCTACTAACTTCGTCCTTTCATTCCCAGTAACATCTCCCCACCCAGCCAGCCCCGAGCCGGGACTGGAATGCGCTAAGCCTGTGTCCTGCCGGGGTCCCCAGTCCTGGGAAGACCACAGCGTGTAGCTCTAGCAACCAACCCCCTTTATGCGCTACCCACTGACTTCAATGAGACTTTCAAGTTTTGTTTTGTTTTTTAAAAGAAGCTAAGAACTCTTGAGGGCAGCTAGGGTGCAAAGTAGCTCAAGTCAGTGAAGTTGGAGCTTTGAGTCGGGGCCCGGCTCTGCAGAAACCAGCAGCTCCCGAGTGCCCTGTGCCGCGTCGCTGAAGGCAGACGAACTGGAGAGAGTGTGTGACATCTCCAGTATGTGACAGGATGAAAGGTTGGAAGGTGGGGGCATATCGGAACCCCTTCAATGCTGGGGCCCCTTCGGCTGTCAGTCACTGGGTACCCATCTCTCACAAACCTGGAATCAAGTCCTAGATGGTGGTGGTTATGACTACCAGGATTAAGGGAATAGGTGTGAGGGTGGTGTGGGGCTGACTTCCCACTAGGATTCTCTTTCCAGAGCTCAGCATGTAATTCACAGTTAATCTGTTTATGGAAATGAGTGGACTGAATTAGAATGAGTGGGTTGGGAAGGAAACACCTCTCATTCAGAACGTCAGGTTGAAATGTGGGGCTCAGTTCTTAATTTGACAGCAGGGCCTTTCTTTTTTCAAGGAGGAGTGCCTTATTCATTCTGTCCCCCAGGTCCCCAGCAGTGGGGCTTACAGCTGGGAGCAATACAAAGGCCCTGTTTTGTTAGAACTTGCGTTCTGAAGGAGGGACACAGCAAGCTGTGTGAAACACCTAATTAACATAATTCAGATAGCTAAATGTGCAACAGAGGAAGGGAACTGTAACTGGAGGGGATTCGGGGGCCGGTGCCTTTGCTCAAGGTATATGGTCTCTGCAGTGACATTTCACCCAAGGTCTGAAGAGGAAACAGGAGGTAGCCATGTGAGGCACACTCCCAAGTGCAAAGAAGAGATCGTGGAGTCTGAACTGTGATTTTACAAGAAAACCACTCCGGTCACTGTGAGGAGGATAGGGCAGACGAGATAAATAGGAGGGAGATGAAAATATAAAAAATCATTAAGTTAACTCCCAAATTAAGTCTGTAAGGCTCACATGTCAGATGCACTATAGACAACTTGAAATTCATTCTTGGAACTCAGGAAAGTGACAGGATAGGTTGGGTAAGTCATCAGCAGACGGTAACAGTTAATATTTAAGGATAAACAAAGCTTCCAGTGATGATGGAAAAAATAAAAACAACTGTTAAGAATAAATGCCTGGGGACTGGAGAGATGGTTTAGCGGTCAAGAGCACTGTCCATTCTTGCAGAGGGCGTGGACTCAGTTCTCAGCACCCACATGGTCGCTAACTATCAGTAACTCCAATTCCAGGGGATCTGACACCCTTTCCTGGCTGCCACGGGCATGTGCAGGTGCACTTACACACATGTGTGGGTGCACTTACACACATGCAGGCAAAACACTCATACACATTAATTAGTTAATTAATTATTAAATTTTTTTAAGGATAAATGCCTGGAACCCCCCCCCCCCAAAATGTGAAAGGCAGTCTGTGGGGCTAAGTAAGAATAAATAACAACATGGGAGAAAGCAGGCAGAAGGTAGATGCCGACAGAACACAGTTTGGTGGAAATGGGTTTGTGAATGTTGTGAGGTCAAGAATGTCAGATGCTGCTGAAAGGGCAGGTGGGATAAGGGTGGGTGAGCAGCCATAGTATTCAACAGTTACAAAGCTGTTCATGCTGAGCATCTTTCAAGCAACCGTTCCACCGGTAGAATGCTTTCAATAGAGTACTACTGTGTAATAAATACTGGATGCCCCTAAAAAATATTGGCTTAATCCAGCCAGAACTGTAGCTCAGTGGTAGAGCACTTGCACGTGCAAGGCCCCAAGTTTGATCTCTAGCACTACCAAATATTAAAAATAAAAAAAGGGGCTGAGAGATGGCTCAGTGTATAAGAGCACTGGCTGCTCTTGCAAAGGACTCCCATTCAATTCCCAGCACCCACCTGGTGGCTAATAACCATCCATAACTCCAGTTCGAGGGGATCTGATGCCCTCTTGTGACCTCCTTAGGCATGCGTAGGACATGGGTGCACTTACACACATACAGGCAATACACTCATACACATAAAATAAAAATAAAATATTGAATAAATAAATAGGTAAAGAGAAATCTAGATGCATTAATAGGATAGGTAGATTATTAAAGGTCTAAAAAGCAAACAAATATAAGAGTTTTGTCGATTTTTAACAGAGGCCTTCATGGAGAGTAATTTTGTGAAAGATGCAGGAAGGTAGCAAGAGGGAAATCGAGAGAAGCTGCGTGGGCCAGTTAGAGCGAGGCTTGGGCTCGTCGGTACTTCCACATGCTTGGGAGTAACCGGTGTGTAATGGAAATGGCCTCCACATTTACGCTATTTTCTCCAGTAGAACTTGGGATAGTCAAGTTCAGAAAGAATTCAAATGCTGATGAAAGGAAGATGCTCATGTCATGTGGGGAAGAGAGAGTAAAAAAGTTGAGTGTGCTAGACAGTGAGGCGCCTTTAAGCATGGGCTGCAAAAAAAACAGAAGTTTTTAAAAAATTTTATTATTTTTATTTTGTGTGTATGCGTGTATTGCCTGCATGCAATACCTGCAGAGGACAGAAAAGACCGTCAGATCCCCTGGAACTTAATTTATGGACAGTTGTTTGTTGCCATGTGGGTGCTGGGATTCAAACCTGGGTCTTCTGCAAGAACAGTCAGTGTTCTTAACCACTGAGCCATCTCTCCAGCCCCCAGAAGTTTTAAAAGTAAAAATTCTAGTAAGAAAATAATAGCAGTTGTTTCCTGAGCATGTGTTTCTGCCATGCTGTTCATCTAATCTGCACAAATCTGCAAGCAGTTACACTAGACTCCCCATTATACCAATGCAAAAATGAAGGCTCTGAGATAATATGTAAAGCAGCAATTTACACTGTTAACACTAGGCACATAGCAGACAGCAGAGCAGAATTTGAGCAACTTCCAAACACCATGCTACATAGGAAGGTGAAATCCAGGGAAGAAGTCCAGATGTGAGGCTGCTCTGGAGGACTGGTGTGCTCACGTGACTATATTTTTAATGTAGAATTAAGACCAAATAAGTGGAAGACGTGATGCAAGATTTGGAAGATCACAAGGCAAGCTTTGGAGTGAAGCACTCATAGTGTCCAAAATGAGTAGGAAAGAAAATTCTGAGTTGTGGTGATAAAGATGGTTAGAGAAATGGAGCTGAGTTACTGAATCACGACAGAAGTGTAATTTGTGTAAGAAAAGGGACTGTTAAGACATTTAAGGGCATTTGAAGTCCGGCTGGGACCAGACAGAGAATACTCTCAGCCTCAAACAGACAAGCCTCTCTTAGCGAACAGAGATAAAGCAAAGCCCCCAGGCTGCACACGGTGCTGAGAGCAGAAGATGGAGCCTTAGCTCAAAACAAGGTGTTCACACCATCTCCTTAAGGTTCAGGGGATGGGCGTGTGTGTGTGTGTGTGTGTGTGTGTGTGTGTGTGTGTGTGATGTAAGAGCTGCAGGATGAGGCTGTGAAATATCATCTTCTAAGCAGAACATGGACATGGGGACCAGGAACCCACTTCAGTTGTACTGAGTCCATGAAGCTGGGCCCTCCTAACACTCACCTATAGAGAAAAGGGGACTGACAAGGCCCTACCACATACTACTGATCTGTATGTTGGCAACAAACAGATTCTGGGAAAGGGGAAGGCATGATATTAAGTTGTATGCCCACTGGTAAGCTAATCAGGCTCTGAAGGTTAGTTCCAAACTCAGGAAGGTTAGTTCCAAATGTTTAAATGGCCTTAGTTAAACGCTGTGGGACACTAAATGAAACCAAAATTTAAGATGGCTCTTACTGGGCTGGAGAGATGGTTCAGAGGTTAAGAGCACAGGCTGCTGTTGCAGAGAACCCAGGTTTGCCTCCCAGCACACACATGACAGCTAACAACCGTCTGTAACTCCTGTTCCAGGGAATCTGCCATCTTCCTCTGGCCTCTGCATTACATGACACAGGTACACTTGCATACATGCAGGCAAAACACTCATATACCTAAAATAAAAAAAATAATAATAAAGAAAAGATGACTCTTACCTGCAAGTAGCTTTCAGTTGAACTAAGAAGGGAGGTTACTAATACATTAATTGTCCAGTGTAATAATCGCCCAACGAAAGGCTATAGACTCTCGAGGTCAGAGATCTTGGTCAGAGTTGGTTGTCACTTGGTCTGCAGCTAGTGAAGTCACCAGACATCTAGTTGTCTCTTCTTTGGTATTTCTCAGGGAGAGATAAGATGTCTGCTCCCACCTGACTTTGGGGATCAAGTTATTAGATATAGTTGTTTCTCTAATTTGCTTTTCACTGAAACAGTATTAAAGGATCCATAGCTAGTATTACACAAGCATGGTAGGGATAAGATGAGAAAATCAATTCCTATTGAGTTTCTGTCATGGTTGAGTCTCCTCTGCCCTCATGGCCACCGGGCTGGAGTGGCAACACATGAGGATCGTAAGGAGGTAGGCACCCAAAGCACAGGTTTACTCAGTTATAATGAGTTTTACTTCCCAGTAAAACCACTGCAGAACAGGAAGGCATACAGGGTACAAGCTGTTGTGTGGGCAGCCGACCCCATCGTTGCTCTCGTCTCAGAACCTGGTCCCTTCTTTCAGGAGCACCTGTGCCCTGGGCTGGACCTGCTGGTATTCCTGTCCAGAAGTCTATGCTGATGGAGGGACAGGCCTAGGCATGAAAATCAGTGAGGATGGTCTGTCTGCAGGAGGGAGTGATGGAGCTCAGAGGGGACAGAGGCAGAGATGACTTGCTGTCATTGTTTCTGAACTATTTCCTCTCGTGGCGGGGGGGGG